AAAAAAAAAAAATTATGTTGTTTTCTTGATCCCTAACTGGGTTACAATCCAGTTTAAAAACTACTGAAGTCGAGTTATTTTAAGCTCTTAACTACTCAGAATTATGCAGGCAGTATCTTGGGGTTAAGGAAAACAATCAAGCAAATACATTTGTCCATAATATTTTAATACTTTTCCACTTTTAAATACTGGTTTTAATTTTGTGATTGTAACATGGAAGATCCAACTTTATTATTTTTTAAAAACATCATCAGGATCATAAAGCTATTATAGAATAGTTATACTCTACACACTCCCAAGGTACTTTAAAATGATTATGTTTTGAGTTTGTAGATGAACAATGACAGTATTCCAAATACACTGTCTGTACAACTTGGACTAAATACTGGTGAAAGTGTTTAATTGGACAAACAACTGATAAGCTTAAAGATAACCAGCACAATTTCACAAGAGAACCAGCTCAGCCCAACTAAAATTTTAATAGCAGCTGACACTGATGTTTGTACAGGTGTACAAATTAGCCAATGAAACTGAACAAGTGGAAAACCTGTTGCTCCTTTCCCTTATTTTGTATTCTTACGCCTCTCTCCCAGCCATCCCCTCCTTAGTCTGGCTGTCTTTGTGGCGATCCCAAACCAAGAGCTGCTGTGATCAAAATTAGGAGTCCTCATTTCCAAGCAAAACACTGTGCTCTCTTGTCCTGTACAGTGGGCACTCAGGGACAAACCCATCATTACCAATATTTTTCAAGTTTCTATCACAGTACAAAAGAGTGAGTAGAAAAGAGAGTAAAAGGGTATTTTGTTTTGTTTGGGGAAGAGAAGAAATTACTGTGTTTGGGAAAACATCATGTCCATTCAGACAATGACTAGGAATTAGTCATACAGATATAATCCTAGAGGGTCTGAATATTTTTTAGAACGGCTAGTACCTCTCCAAATTTTGACCTCTTTAAAACTCTTTTCGTATTCCCCAACTGATTTCTAAATCTGATCGGATGGGATTAAACTCTAGTGAAGTACCTGTAGAGTTATCTAAAGGTAAACATGTCTTTTTCTTTTTTTAATACAAGTATTTTTAGTGTAATCATTTCATTTACAGAATTGCAAAAGTGTATCATTAACATTTAGTGCAAATGCAACTAAAGGTAATTAGATTTAGACACTGCTTTGTAAGCTTTCCATACCTTTGTAAAATGAAGCTATCCAATTTAGTTATGAAAAAGTTACTTGTCCGTGTTCATGATAGTTACCAGACATGGCAAACAGAGAAACATTTATAGTGGGCATAGAGAATTTTTTTGAAGATTCCCATCAGCGGCTATGGTGAATAAACCCTCCCCCCCAACCCTCCCATATCCCATCCCAAACCCACAGCTGATTGTAAAATAAAATACACATTTGAGGTATAAACTTTTCTTTTTTAAACATCACAATATAAAATGTTAACTGGTGATGTAGTAAACTCATATGATAATTTGTCTTATTTGCCTTACTAGCATTACCACCATATAGGCACTTTTCCACACAGTCAAATTATGAACAGCGTTTTTCTGTAATAAGGCATATTCCATGCACATCATTTAGAGAAAGGTAAATTAAAAAATAGAAAAGATTTATGGAGCATGAAATCTGCGTGCATGTAATATAAGCATATGTTTTATATGTATTATTTCTCTCTGTACAGAATAATAAATACCACTATATCTGATGCAAGTAATTCACTTCCAGGATTGTGCATATTAAGTGATCAGACTAATCCCATCATTAAATTATCACCTTGCATTCATCATTAAGACTCCATTACCATGTATGAAATATATACAGGACATGTTCCAAGTGACATGACTTTCTGCTTTACAAAATGGGTCTGATTTCTGTGTTTCTACAGAGATGAACAAGTCAGCAAAGCATCTAAAAATGCCTCTGACATATGTAAGCACATTTGTGTATAAACACAATGAAGATTTTGAAGTGGGCAGTCATTTCTACTTCAGTGAGTCCCATTCCTTGCCTCAACTCCATGCTTCAAGGTTTTTCAGAGGCCTAAAACTAAAGAAGGTATTTTACATTTAAGTTCTTACAGCAACTAAGGGAAGAATTTCAGTTTGAATCACATGGAATCCTTTACTGCTTTGCTGAAAATTCTGAGCAAGAGGCAAAGAGGAGCACTGCTCACGTTTTCTATGCACATCTTGCAACAAAGCCTTTAAATGGACCCAAATTAGAAGAGCTAACATGCCTGTTACGAATACCAGAGACACTGAATCAAATGTCAACCCCAGACAGCCTGATTTACCTTAATGAGAAATACCGTGTATCTTCTAACAAATTTCAAGAAAACATGAGCTTGTTTTATCCTTACTATTGTACCAGAAAGTAGTTTATACCCACAGCAGTTGTATGTTTCTGTTTGGAGGCAGGCAGAACCAATTGAGGAATTACCAAATTGTGTTTGTAAACAAACTGAAAAAAATCTGTAGCACACAGTACACAACTAAAAATACAATAGAAATAGAAAGATACCTGGGGGAAAAAATAAAGCCTTTCACTCTTTCTCCATCAGAACCAAGGTTCTTCATAGGAGTAAGACTATAGAAAAGGCAAAATCACAGGTTACTGACAGCCCTCAGTTATTAAGAGACACTAGGTAACAACATGAATCATTATAGAAATCAGCAGCAATGAATTCTATGATTATACAAAGCAAAAAAGTCAAAAAATTCTGAACACAGATTTAACCATAGGCCTGAAAAAAGAGCCCCATCCAGGTATGTGGTGCACAGAAAACACATGCCCCACGTGCATTCAACTTTTGTGCTTTTCTTTTGTGCACAAAACCTGATACAAATGAGGATCTTAGGCCGGACCATAGTAAATTAAAAATTCTGAAAAAGTTTCCAAAAATTAAAGCATCAATTCCTAACTGTGATTCAAAGTTGATTTTTTTCTCTTCTAGGAGCAAGCAAATAAAAATATAGCCATATACATGTAATTTTACATGTATTTATAGTTATATGCTGAGCGAGGATATCTAACAGGAGACAGCTAGTGTTAGATGTTCACCTTTGCCATTGCAGTCTTTCTTCATTTTTGTACACAAGGCCAGGGTGTTGGGCCACAGACAAGGCTATAGATCCTATGTTCCAGCTTAGAGCATTCAATTTTGTTTTTTATTTTTTCCTCCAACATGGAATGTCACACAGCCTTGCTTCAGTCACTGCAGGAAAGAAAATAAGTAAAAAATTAAGCAATATATTATTACTAACAGCTACAAGACTACCCAAACAGGTTCCTCCTACCCTCTGAATTCATGGAATGCATAGATCTCTATTAGAAATTTATGCTTTAAAGATTTCCACCTTTAAAAATATAAACTTATTAACCTTACATATTTAAAACTTATCTCATCAGCAAGGAATAGAAGGCCTAAGGAATATTTCGAAAGCTAGAAAAAAAAAAAGGAAATACGCCACAGATAAATAAGCAAAGAGGGAATCAATCAGAAGTCTCTGGATTTGTAGCCCCCAATCCAGCATTTCTTTCTTCTTAGCCTTCAATAAAAATTATGCTATACAATACCATTTATCAAGAATTTACAAGTTTTGGGTGCCTGGGTGGCTCAGTTGTTTAAGCGACTGCCTTCGGCTCAGGTCATGATCCTGGAGTCCCGGGATCGAGTCCTGCATCGGGCTCCCTGCTCAGAGGGGAGTCTGCTTCTCCCTGACTCTCCCCCCTCTCATGCTCTCTCTCTATCTCATTCTCTCTCTCAAATAAATAAATAAAATCTTTAAAAAAAAAACAAAACATACTCAGACACTGTCACATAAGTTTTAGAGTTTTGACTATGAGGGGCGCCTGGGTGACTTAGTCAGTTAAGCATCTCTCAATTTCGGCTCACGTCATGATCTTAGGGTACTGAGATCAAGCCCCGCATCGGGCTCTGCACTGAGCATGGGGCCTGCTTAAGATTCTCTCTCTCCCCCCCTCACCCCCACTCTATGCTAGGATCCACTTCATACATACATCTTTTCAAACATTGTGAAACAAATACTACTATAGGTAAACAAAGATTTTTCACCATGTGTTAAGGTTTGAATTTGGTTCTTTGTCAGAAAGCTCAACTGGATTCAAGGCCAGAGCTAACTTTTGGCCAGTGAATCTTTTCAGGTCTCTCTTTACATACACTCACATTCACCCCAAAACAATGCTTCCTCCTTCCTCTGAGATGAATTTCAAGCCCCTCCCCTCCAGGTCCTGTGTGCATATGTATGCGTGTGCACACACAGACACACACTCACACAGTCAATAAAACAATGCCCAAATCCAACAGTTCTGAGGCAAATATTGTTAAGACTATTAGCATGTATTTTTCAAATGCTTAAGAAAATTCTTCTTTTCGAATGCAGTTGAGAGCATGTTCTAGTTGTAACTGCATTTTCATTTCTTTTGCTTAATACACAGTTATACGTTCTGCCCTGCTTGTCAGCAAGGCTCAGGGTAGAGGTGGAGAAGAGAGAAAGCAGATTTCAGCTGCACACTTGGTCTTGATTAGAGCAAACAGCATTCTTTAGCCATCTTAATTAAGGCTGTGGGGAGACACATCCAGCCAAGTCAGGTGACAAGCCTGCTGCCATCACGTGGCATCACGTGCCTGGTTTATTTGAGATAACAGTGCAGAGACAAAACCAGCACATTTCATGTCCAGATCTAGCCGTAACAATTCTAAAGTACAAGATATTCTAAAAATTGCCAGCACATTTATGCAGTGCACTTATGCTTGAAGAAAGAGTCTCTCAAAGCTTAGGCTGTATCCCAAAACACTAAGCATTCAGATAAGACCAGAATCTGTTCAACATTTTCAGGTAAGCTTTCTCCTGGGAGAAGCTAAGTCTCTGCGACATCACTTCAACAACCCTTGTGTTAGTATATGACAATAAATCTAGTCTTTGAGGTTTTTTTTTCCTTTAAGAAAGGCATACCAAAAACAGCATCAGAAATCAGAATTAGTTAAAAATATCAGTCATTATATAATTATTGAATGTATCACTTTTATCTAAAGAAAGTGACTCAAGAATATACATTTCTCAGCCAGTACCTTAATACTCAATATAGGAGAGAATGAGAGGACATTCATAAATACTTGTGACTTACGAGTTATACTTTGGTAATCTCTATCAAAAATTTAAATGTTAACACATACTGAGCGTTCACAGCAACAGAATTATACAAATTGTTCTCAAACAGACCAAGAAATGTTCAAACTGAAGAGAAATACAACAGCAACTACACTGAGAGAGTATCTTTTACCTGCCAAGGTGGAACAATCCAAGTTCTAGCTCATACACCGAATGAGAGGGTCCAGGGAAACGGGCCCTCCACTACGCTACTGCTGGTGAGACAGTAAGTTACTACAACCTCTGTAACTGTAAGGGGGGTGATACCTAAATTATAAATATGCACAAACCCCCGAGAGGTGCTGGCAGTGTCATGTCCAGTAATTTATCCCACATATCAACTTGCAAGTGGATATAATTATAACACCGTTCTAGCAAAAACTGGAAACAACCTCAATGTCTAGCAGTGGTTAGATAAATTATGTGCATCCGTATGCTGGGATACTGTGTAGCCGCAAAAAAATAAGGAGGGAGGTCCATAGTGTTATGCAAAGACCTTTAAAGTAAAGCAAGTGCGAAAACAAGATGCAGAACAGTGTGTTTTCTTAAACAACAAAAAAGTGCATGTGTGGGAGGAATACACACATGCATTCATAAAAAATTCTCTGAAAACATACTCAAGAAACTAGTAATATCAGTTTGCTCTTCTGTTTGGGGCTGGAGGGAGGGCAAAACTGGGCGAGTAGGGGACAAGGGATAAATGTCACTGTTTATCTTTTCAGACTACGAACCATGTTAACATAGCTCAGGTCGTTATACCAGGGTCTTGGGATCGAGTCCCGCACTGGGCTCCCTGCTCAGTGGGGAGTCTGCTCCTCCCTCTCCCCCTCCCCCCGTGCTTGCACATGCTCTCTCTCTCTCTCCCCCAAATAAATAAATAAATAAAATCTTTATTAAAAATAATAATAAGCATGATCCCAGGGTCCTAGGATTGAGCCCCGCATCGGGCTCCCTGCTCCCTCTACCACTCCCCCTGCTTGTGTTCCTCTCTCGCTGTGTCTCTCTCTGTCAAAAAAATAAATAAAATCTTTAAAAATAATAATAATACTAATAAACATTCTAGCTCTTTGTGCAAAGACGTTCAGCGCATATTTGGCAGTCAAAATATGGAACCGATCCAGACATTAATGTGGGACTGGCTAATATATTCTGCAACATTCATATAACAGATTTTAAAGGAATGAGATAGTTTTATATGTCTCATATCTTTATATGCAGTAACAGTCAAGATATATTGTTAGGTAGAAAAAGCAAGCTGCAAACAATAAGTATAGAATAAACACATTTTTAAAAAATAATAATATACGCCACTCACAACATACATACAAAAGTATGGAAGAATAAACAACGAACCTAAAGTAATTTCTGGGAAGGGAAAAATATGGGGAATTTGTCCTTCTGGAATTCTATGGCTCCATAATGTTAAAATCTCTTTGCATAAGCAGATACTATCTAACATAAGCAGGAAAAAAACACATTTTAAAGGCCAAAACTACTACAACTTTGTCTGGGAACATGATAAAACATAGAAACTACTTCCAACAATTAACTAAATTTTAATATCTGCAAGCTTATATTAAAATTTTTAAAAAAGGATAATATATATCTTCCAGTACCTGTTAATACTAGAACAAAATGGGTTTTCCCGCAGTTTTTTCTTGGACGTAAGAAGTAAAACGTTTTAGAAACTTTGGATACTCTCGCTTTGCCACTGCCCTTAACACTGAGGCTGGTGCCCATCCTCCAGGGTTCACTGCAAGATAAAGGAAAACTAAAACCTGTTAAGATACAATTCTCCAAATGTATGTGAAGCACTCATTTTGTTCCTTTGCTTTTAAAAAATTTCTCACGTTGGAATAGTTAACATCTCTTAAAGTCCTGACCTGACCATTAATTCCTTCGTGCTACCACCAGACAAGAACACACCAAATAAGAAAGCATTTATTACCTGGCTAAAATGTTCCTGGCTCCCCAAATTATATGCAAATATTAATATAGCAACATTTTAAGTTATGTTAGATTTGTCAAACTCTACTATAATCAAACTGTCTCTTTAAATGTAGTAGCAGTTATGTCCCGGTATAAAAGAAGATTTGAGGATTTGATTAAAGGGACTCCAGTGGCTCTTGTAGGTCGGAAATGGATGTAGTAAGAAACCTAAGCAGGCAATGATTCAGAAAACAAAAAAGCCTGACAATGAGAAAAAGAACTGTTAATTTCCTTAATCATTATTGCTTATACTCCCAGTTATACATATATTTTATTAGACAAATATATAATAAGATGGTTCTTAAAGCCAAGCATATGTGAAAGTGATCTAGAGATGAAATATTAAAATTTATCTACCCAGCCCCAGTCTCAGAAATTCTGATAGAGTAGTTCTGGGGTGAAATTCAGACATGGGTATTTTCAAGTTTCCTGATAATTTTGATACACATCTCTCCAAATTAAAAATCATTAATCTAAATGATAAAAAACTAAAAAGACATTTAGATCATAGTAAGAAAATCAAGGGGCGCCTGGCTGGCTCCGTTAGAAGAGCATGTGACTCTTGATCTCGGGGTTGTGAGTTTGAGCCCCATGTTGGGTGTAGAGATTACTAAAAATAATAGTAAAGGGGTGCCTGGGTGGCTCAGTCATTAAGCGTCTGCCTTCGGCTCAGGTCATGATCCCAGGGTCCTGGGATCAAGCCCACATCGGGCTCCTTGCTC